AGTAAGAGAGAGAAATTTAAGCTGACGGAGGGGCGAGTGCGCTGTTTAATAAATTGCTCCAAAAGGGGAGTAAGAAGGAAGAATAATATATATATATATATATGTAGCACTTAACCTGCATGATTTGTGTGGACGCAATGCACATACACGCAATGACGGAAAGAAAGAGAAGGCATGGGGAGCACAGCCAACGTCTCATTCATCCATCGTGGGGTACTAATGCGGGCCGGTTTCTGCAGACGCCGTTACCCTGTCTCCTGCGCAGAGGAGAAGTGCAAAGGAGCAAGAATGCACAACTTCCCATCGGCGACTATCGCTATAGAGAACTATTGATAAAAAACGAACGCTACGTGAAACGCAGCAGACATCCTTCGTCCGACACCAATCCTCTCACAGACTGTAGGAAACAAAACAAACAAACAAAATGAATTGTGCAATAATGCGGCAACAAAGCGGAAGACGGAACGGCAAGACAGTCACGCCGGCCGCCATCGCGGTGTCTCTCCCGCGCTATTGCTCCTCACTTGTACACCGCGGCTTGTGCAGCACCACCATTGACGGCACAAGTTCTTCGATGGGGCCGTCCACGACGAGCGCGAGTTCCATGAGGTGGGCGATGAGGGCATGCCACGCCGGGTACCGCGACAAAAGCTGCACGTTTCCCATAATGAACAGGCCACGCTTCGCGCGAGTTATCGAGACGTTGAGTCGCCTCCAGTCAACCACAAACCCTATCCCTTGGCGGCGGTTGCTGCGGACACAGGAGAGGATGATGAACTCCTTTTCTCGCCCCTGAAACGCGTCGACGGATGAAACCTCGACGCGCTCATAGACCTCCCTCGGCAGGGGCCCGCACCGCGCAAGATAGTTCGTCACGAACCGGCACTGGCTTCGGTACGGGGTGATGACGCCGATATCCTCCGGCTTCACTTTGCCGTCGCGGATGAGTTTCGTTATGATGCGCTCCGTCAGTGCCCCCTCGGCCCGATTCAGGTACGAGCTGCCGTTCTCGCCCAGCTCCTCGGACCCCGTCGTGTTGTAGAAGAAGATCGGATTCGTGGGGTCCGGCCACGGGAACACCCGCGACGCGTCGCGCTGCGCCGCCGTCACACCGTTTTGCAGGGTGCCCTCGTAGAACTGGCCGGACGGGAAGAGGGACAAGGACGGGTGCATGCGGTACTGCACCTCAAGTCGCACTGCCCGGTGGCCCGTCAGCAGCAGCCGCTCAAACAAACTCCGACGCAGTCCGGCCTTTTCCGCGGGAAGCGAAAAGACAACGGGGCGCAGCTGGCAATGGTCGCCCACCAAAAACACCTGCTTCGCGCCACGCACCAGGGGCACAAGTGCCTCCGGCTCGGTCGCCTGCGTCGCCTCGTCGATGAGAACGTACTGGAAGCGCATCTTCCCCAGCCGCCTATCCGCGGCCCCAATGCACGTGCAGCAGATCACATCGGCGCTGCCAAGAAGCGCCTCCTCAACCTTCCTCACGGCGTCCGTGTATACCGCCTGCTCCCGATCGCTCAACACCTCACCCGCCAACTTCATCTCAAGCATCTGCTTCAGTCGCACGTTGCCGCTGCTCGCCATGATGAACTCTTCCACCTGACCGTCCAACCCGACGTGCCTCAGGGAGCTCGGCACCTCACGGTCGCGGGCGTACAGGCGCACCGTCTTTAGGCCGGCCGCAGAGATCCTCTCGGCGAGGTGGTCAGCGGCGACGTTGCTTGGGGCACAAACAAGAATTTGAGACGAGATGTGGCGATTCAGCTCAATAACAATGGCGACGCTGGTCGCTGTCTTGCCCGTGCCGGGCGGGCCTTGGATGAGCGTCAGCGGGCTGCGCAACGCCGTTCTCGCGGCGCTGTCCTGGGAGGCGTTCAGGCCTGGGAGCCGCTGCGGCGGAAGGTCAACATCCAACTCAGCAAAGCGGCTCGCCGCCTCCTCCTCCCGGCCAAGAATCGTAAAGTAGAGGTACGCGGAAAGTGCGGCATTCTGCGCCAGCCGCTCCAGCGCTTGGCACACCCTCCTACAGCTCGTGGCGTCGTACTCGATGCGAAAGCTCACCGTGGATGCAGCAAGAATCTCGCTCAGCGCCTTTCGCTCCTCCGCCAGGCCGCTGCAGCACGCCTCGAACACAGCCTCCTCGTCGCCAAGCTGCGACCTCCCGAGTTCGACGATGACGCCCTTCAACAACCGCCAACCCTCCTTGGCCCACAATGAGACTTGATCGCCGCAGCGGAGACCCACCTCGGAGGGCGGCAACTGCTTCAGCAGGAAAAGGTGTTTCCCGCCAGCTTCCTTCTGGAACTTGCAAGCAACATTTTCAAAGAGCAAATCTCTTTGCTCCCTCGCGGCAACGAAGTCCATTTCAACCAGCGTCTTGAACACCGTCATGTACTCCACGGCGTTCTCAAAGCGCAGCGGCACGGCTGGGGCATCCTCCAGAACATCCACCGTCTGCTTCTCCTCGCTGTTCCAGGCCAACTCCAGGGTTGTGATTTCGTGCAAGGTGAGTTTTTTTCGCGGGAAAGTTGGCACCTTGCAAATCCACGGCAACACCCGGCGTTCCTCGATCACTGGCAGCCACGTGGAGGCATCCCAGTTGAGGTCGCGCAGTGCCTTGGAGTGGAGGCACGGCTCGCGGCAAACCAGGACAACAACGGACTCCTCTTTGGAGGGCATGAACCCCAGCGAAAAAATGTTCGTCGAGCGACAAATGTAGCACTCCAGCACGGGGTCACCGAGGGGGTTTTCCGCGTGCAGCTGCACTGCACGGTGCTTGTTCCTCACGAGGTGCAAGACGATGTGGGAACCGCTGGTGCCATGCCCACCGTTACAAAACCACTTTTTGCAGACGGTACATATGGCCAGCGAGCGCGGGTCATCCTCGCCGCAGTAGGAGCAGCTCACTTCAGTGCGTGTGGGTCCGGCGCTTCCCGGTGCGTCCGGGTCCTCGCTCTTGTCACCGGCCGCCACGCAGTGGCTGTCGGCGGGCGGGCTTTCAGTAGCGGTGGACTGGCTCATTGGACTTGCTACCGGAAGAAGAAAAACAGGGGAGACAAGAATGCACAACAGGCGTCGGGCACGAGCCCAAACTCCACAGACAGCCGCGAGAGAAACAAACGCGTGTGAGGCGTGTACAGCTGCGAGAACCGCCTCTCAAAGCGGAGAACGCACGCACCGACACGCAACCACGGCGCGAGGCACCGCGGCACTGTGCCTCCCTCCCCTACCCCCCGTGCGCCGGGAGCCCCTTCTACGCCACACGCCCCCCGGAACATCGAGCTGCCCCGTCGCACACCATCCGCGGCGTCTCCTTGTCTCCCGTGGGAGCGCCAACGACCGCCACGAGCCACTCTGCGACGCGCTCGGCCAAAAATCAGTCTTCCACAGAAAAACACGGGATGCTCACGGGAACACACTCACCGGCGCCGTGCGTTGCGGCGGTGCCGCGCACACACGATGGACTCGTCTCATAATGGGGCCCACCACCGCTTCCAAACTTCCAAACACCCCTGCAAGAGGCCGAGTTGCACGCGCAGGGCGGGGAGAATAAAAATTAAAAACAATATATATATATATGCATTACCGTCCCCTCTTCCCCGACGCAGATACGCCGGTCACCGCGTAAAACCATGCGGACGCGAGTCACCGTCCCCGCTGTACGACTTGTTTATGTGAATATTGCATGCTGCCGCCGTCCACACCGCACTCCGGCAGCGGCGTGCCTTAAGCTAGCCCTCCCGCCGGTGCGGGGTCCTGCCAGCCGCAACATGTGCACGTGACGGCAGCGGAGAAGGGCCAAAGGCAGCCGCAGGAGGAGCGACGCCAGGGATCGGTCAGCGACTTCGTGCGAGATTGTACTCCTCTTCAAGTTGTCTTAGCAGCGCAGGAAAGTGCTCCCTCTCGTAGTCGTCGGGGCAGCCCGCCGTCAGCCAGCGAATCACCCCCTCGTGGTCCACAAGCATGACGTGCGGCGACAGGTAGTTGCGCAGGCCCAGGACAGAGTAGAAAGGCTGGAGCAGCCTGCACCCGACAAATGTGGTGGACGCCGTTATCAGCCCACTCACCGCGGACGCGCCTACCGTGTGCTCCGAGGAGGAGGCAGGGGAAGCGAGTGACTGGGCAAAGCGGCGCACATACAGACGGTGCACCCAGCGATACTTGTACACATCCATGCTGCGCAGCGAAACCACATCGAGTGGCATGGCGTGCCCTCTCCCGCTCCCTGGTGCCTCCCTGGAACTGTGACGGAGCCCCCCTTTGTGGTGCTCGCATGTCGACGCGACGTGCCCCTCGCCCGTCGCATCCGCCGTCGGAAGGAACTGCAGCAGCGAAGGGTGGATGGTGGCGTACGCCAGACGACGCCACTCCAAGTCCGCCTGCGCCCCGAGTTTCTGTCCCAGCTGCGTGTAAATGACGACCGCGGGTCGCCGAAAGGTCGCAGAGGAAAAGGGCGTCATTTGCGCGGGGTCCTGCTCGCAAAAGTGGCGCGTCCTTGGCCAAGGCTTCGCCGTGGCGTCCTCCTTCGCACGGCAAAAGGAGGCGCAGAGTGAGCCGGGGCCCATAAGCGCAGCCACCCTCTGCTCCGTTGCTCTTGTGTAGCCGCAGAACTGGCGCACATTGGCCGCCCGCACGGATGGAAACGCCGGCGACGACTGAGACGTCGCGCCCCCGTGCAGTGGGCGACCCCTTTTCCGGCTGAGCACCCCAGGGCCGCGCATGAGCTTGCTGTTCTGGATGATTTTCAGCTCGTTCAGCGCGTGCTCGTTGAAGTAGCGCAGCATGCGCTCCAGTTCGTTGTCCACGGCAAACTCAATGCCGTAGCGGAAGTACTTGAACACAAGAAACACGTCGCGCGACAGAATCGGTTTGTCCAGGTCCATTCCAACATCCCTGAAGACAAGCATGCGCTTCCGCTCGCTAAGAACCTTCTCTTCACGACCACGCCCACACACCTGCGAGAAACCACCGCTCTTCGCGCCAGTGAGCGCCGCCGACCTTTCCAGCTCCGACAGCCTCTGAAGAAAGCGGTTGCTCGTCGTGGACGCCCGGGCGGGCCGCCCAGCATCGTCCGCCCCAAGCTTGCGGGAGCCGGGGTCGGTGTCCGCGGCGTGCCTCCGTGATCCAGGACGCCGCTGCAGGAAACGAGCGCCAGGCGTGCGCTCAGCGGACAAAGCAGGCCGTGTCCCAGGAGTGCCAGCAAAAAACAAACGCCTGAGCGACATGTACCCGGCGTATTCTTCTCCAACTTGGAGGGGCGTGTAGCCGACGAAAAACAGCTGCACGCACGCGCAGAAAGAGAAAGAGGCAAGACAAGAGAGAGAGAGAGAGAGAGAGAGAGAGAGAGCTGTCAGCAAACAAACAAAAACAAAACAATAATAGGGTAAACCGCACAGCAAAAACTCATTCTCCAAGAGGTGTGCGTCGACTTGCACACGAGGCTAGATACGGAGACAACGCCGACTCATGTATATATATATATATATATATACATGTATACATATAGGCGCCAGAACAGGGACAGCGCACGCAGACGTTAGTTGAGGCACCCATTAATAACTAAAAATAGAAGAAATAAGAAACATACGCATAGGCAAATGCGCATATACACATGACAATCTCACACACGGAGGGATTACAAGAAGGCAAAAACAAAAACAGGGTGTCCACAAAAAAAAATATATCTACACAACGGCACCGTACACTAATACTGAGGCGGATACTGCCCCGGCGCTTGCGGTGGGTATCCTGCATCGTACATCTGAGGCGGATAGCCATTTCCCGCCGCAAACCCCTGCGGACCGGGCGGGTACCCGCCGTCGTACCCACCGGCGCGGGCATAGTTGTCCCCACTATAGGGATTCTCTTCCTGCCACTCTTCCCCGTAGCTCGGTGAGCCCGCATTCAGTGGGGCCTTGGCGACACCCCCTGCGTGCATTGCGGGAACGCGTTCATGGGCCACCAACACGTCCTTTGGCTTGTCGAAGAGCTTTTCAAAAAACGTCACGGTGGAGCCCCACACCATCTTGCACCTGGTTGTGAGCGTCATTGTGCGACTGAGCTTCGGCGGGAGAAAACAAAACGCAAAGACAAACTGGAAACCAAAAAAGGCAAGACAGGAATGCAGGAAAGGCAAAAGAGCGATAAATAGTGAGAAATGCGTACAAACATATTTAATAAAACAAGTTCCACGCCCCAAACTAGATAGGCGCAAAAAGAAACTGGGAGCAGTTCACAACCTCGGTGGGGGAAAAAAACACCCACCACCGCCACCGCCGATCAGACACCCCTCCCGTAGCGCGGGGCAACGCACGAACGAATGCCGGCAGTGCGTGGGACGAAAAGCGCGACCGCGCGGCAACTCGTCCCGAAAACAAAACGGGGAGAAAGCAAGCGCCAGTCGCCACGCCACGCCCCCGCGACGCCCTCTGGTCGGCGCCAAGCCCTCGCTGCGCCGCGTCCGCCGCCCCTGCCGCCTCGCCCGGCTTCCCGCCAGTCATGGGGCCCCAGCCGTGTCCTCCGTGACGGCCAGCTCCTCGGCAACGCCATCCCAGGCAGTCGGCGCCGCGGTCTGCGGTGTCGCGGCGCTCGCTTCTGCAGGGCGCTCGCGCGCGTGCGGCGGCGGCGGCGGCAGC